CAGTTTAAGGATAAAAATTAGCCTACAGTCTTCATTTATACTATTTGAAGGCATAAATGAGAACTTATTTTAACCAAAAAAATCTGTGATGTATTTTTAGCATCTTGCATGATGTTTGAATGGATTTTACACTTCCAATTGAATAAGAACTAAGATGAAATAAACTCCCAACACTACTATCATCTCTTCAGAATCACTTGTCTTGAGTCTACCTGTCAGTATATTCTCCTCCCTTTCAAGATACATAATAATCTCATTTAAATCATAGAGTTCTATGACACTAAAGCAGCTGACACAGTATCTTCCTGCTTGCTATTGTAGTACTACTCCTGAGTGATTGCTTATCAACAGCAATACCACTGTTTTGTGTTACTAGATTGTTGAGCAAACACTTAAATTTATTTTTGGATTACTCTTTTCTTTTGGAAGGTTGTGATTTATATGTGCATTATTTCCAATTTCCAGTAGGATCAGCTTTCATTACAAAATGACAATAAAACCAAACTCCCAAATTGTTTGCTGGGTCTCCAGAAACTCACCTTCTCCCACTTCTACTAACTCTATTATCTAGCTTATCAGTTAGGGTAGTCATGAATTAATTTATCTTAAAGTATTGTGTTTTGATTTGGATTATCAGGAACATACTGCTTGTGTATTATCTTAAGAAGGACAACAATAAGACAATTTTAGACTACATATTTTATTATGTAATCTATTTCTCATAATATTATATATAATGTATTACTAAATAATAATAGTATAAATAAAAGGTAGAACAGACAAGATTTTTGCAACAAATCAGTGAGTTACACTTTCATGATGGAACTACTTCAGCTTTTTTAAGATGACACCGTATTTGAAAAACTTGGAATAATTGGCATTTAAAAGTTAAGAGATTTCTTCTTGCCAAATTCTGAAAAATATTATTTCTTGAAGACTCAAAAATATGCAACATTGAACCTACATTTGATTATAGCAACATTAGCTGGACTTGAATATGACCATTCCCTCCAGAAGGGCTGTTGTAGTTGACTAGATGGCCAGTGTGCTCATAGCAGTCCTATTTTATGCCTGTTTTCCTGGTGTTTCTTAATAGTGCCCATTTTCACTAACAAGTTCAAAAGATAAATTATATGGTCATTGTAGTTAGTGGTCTCTAGTTCTTTTATCATTGGCCTCCTTCACATACCATAAGCCTGATATTTGTGAGCATTTAAGTGTATTATTACTGCTCTAATATCCCTCATCTAGTTCATATGTGTACAAATACGTAACTCCTCCTTAATGATGGATAGAAGCTTTGGTTGTACTTTCCTCTTTAGTATTAGCTTCTGTTTGCTTCCTCCTACACAGCATGGTCTTAACTAAATTTTCTGTGTAATACCATTTATTTTTTGCCTTAAAGATCTTTACTATAGAAGGCATGATACTATCACCATAACTTAACTACTATGTGAACACTATCATATTTATATATCTTTCTACCAGGGTCGTACTAAAACTTTCATGTAATATCTCTTTACTGCTGCAGCTAAATGGTTCTTAACCGTAAACTGGCTAATTTAATTTGCAAACCCTCAACTGGTGCTTGGTATATGCCAAACTCTGTGGAAGTCATTGAGCAAATAGAAATAAAAGACATGCCATTCATATGATCAAAAATCATTAGTTCTCTTCACATCTCTGCATATTTTTCTTGTCTTACCATCTTTCTTATAAAAGTAGTGCCTAATGATGTGTGTGTGTGTGTGCACACGTGCGCATGCACGCATGTGTGTGGCACATGTGTGTGTGAGTGTTGGGGGAGAAAAGACAGATTTGGGCAAGGACATTCTATTTCAACACATATACTTTTATGTATATTGAAACGAAGGTGTTAAAGAGTTAGGGTTCTTGTTATTCCAGGCAAGGCCTCACAGGTTGGCTGTTTCTTGGGGGGTTACAGCAATCTCAACTTAGATTTATGGTTTGAAAATGTGCTTTCATCAGCTAACCAGTGCCAGCTGTCTGCTCAAGGATGAACAGCATCCCTGAAGAGCCCAAACCAAAGTAAACTAGCCCTATTTTTATTCATTTTCTACCATCTATATATTCTTGCTCATTGTTGTAAAGCTGACTAATACCTTCCATTCAACAGGTTATAGCATTTTTTTCTAGTCTCCTCTGGTTGAGAATCTGAGCTTTTATGAAGCTGTCCTGGAGACCTTTTCTGGCCTATTCACTAGATATTCCTTCCTTGGTTAACCTGGTTAGGTTCAGTAAACCTTAGCTGGCCCAATTTCTAGGGACTCTAACTTGAATCAGAAAGAGATGACCCACTGCATTGTGATTTATGGTTTTAAGACTTCCAAAGTCACATAGTAATGGCATTTTTTTTTTTTTTTGTATTTGGTAACTTTCAATTTCAGAAACATGACTACTTGGCATTCTAGAGGAAATAACTTTGATGTGTTGGCTTTTCCAATGAATTTTAATATAATATTCTTGTAGGAGGCCTGAACCAAACTACCCAAATCTTCAAGAATTTAATTGATAAACACGAATGTTCTGTATATTGATTTGTACTCATTGTTTTATACTATAAATCTAATTGCTAAGAACTCTATGATTTTCATGTTCATGGTTCACAGCATTCTTTTCCTTGGGGAAAACATAATGACTAATACAGTATATTGAGAACTATAATTCCCAAGGAAACTAAGATGAAAAACACATGTGTCTGAAATTAATTGTACCTGTCTCCTGTAGGAAAGTCTATGCCAGCATAATCAACAATTATCAGGAACTTCCTCAAAGAATTTGTCACATCAGTCATCCCATGATATTAAACAGATATACATATTTCACTGCAGGGATATATATATATATATATATATATATATATATATATATCAAGGACAATGGATATTTAGTTCCAATTTTGCATGGCCAATAGTGACAAATTCCTAATTTTCAAGTTCTCATTGTTTGTTTGTTTTAGGACACATATAGAATTTTTGTCACAACTTTAGCTCAGTCATGCTTGATTCAATTAAGTTATAGTCTATGATATGCTGGTAATCTGGCTCTCCCCCAAACCAAAAAAGCCAGGATTTGTACCATTTGCCAATTTTCATAGTGTAAATTCGTAGTGTAAATTCTCCCACCATTGCTAATTTCTCTTCTACTTTTACAACTGGCTCTCCCCAGATTGCAGAATATTTAACAATTGGCTTTCTAGAGTTTATACAAGCTGGTCCGGGGAACACCACTAGCAGTTTTTTACTAGTTGCAATCTAGTTCTGAAGTTGCATCTAGCCTTCTTATATTGATCTTTTTATTAGATTCAGAAGACACATTAATACACTACCTCTTAGAAAAATCTATCAAAAATTTTTGATATTTATTTTATTTATTTTGAGAGAGAGAGAGAGAGCATGAGCAGGGGAGTGGCAGAGAAAGAGGGAGAGAGAGAGAATCTTAAGCAGGCTCCTCACCATCAGTGAAGATCCCGATGTGGAGCTAAACTCATGAATCTTGAGATCATGACCTGAGCCAAAATCAAGAGTCAGACACTTAACCAACTGAGCCATACAGGTGTCCCAGAAAAAAAAAAAAAAATCTATTTTACAGATAGTGATATCTGTTTATGTTGAACCTGTTAGTTTCATTTTTAGCTAGGAACTTTTTTAAAAAAGCATGGGACAGAAGAAAGCTTACCATCACCTCAAAAATTCTCTCATTCACAGAGCTAGGAAAAGTATGTGGGTGGAAAGAGAGTCCGAGAAGCAAGTCAGTGGAGAAAATAAATTTAGGAAGTCATAATTGAGTACATTTGTTGGAATACATTAGAGAAAGTATAAGGAAAAATAGAATGTAAAAAAAGAGATTGATAGGTGTATTTTAATTTTTTAAAAATACACAGTAATACACAAGTAAATAGATTTGTGGCATATTGGTTATTTGACTGCAAAGTCAGTGTAGTTGGGATTAATTTTGCCTTCCATATCCATCATTTAATTCAGTTTTGGTAATTCCTAGGACCATCTTATACAATATGGAATTCATGTTAACTTTATGGTATTAATTTTATGGAACCATTTTATTACCTGCTTAAATTCCTTAAACTTCACTTTCCAAGAAAGTGTTATTTCCCAGTGTTCTAAAGACAATAACTACCAGCAACCTAGGCTTCTCCTCCCTATGACTGCAGATATCTCCCTAGGAGTTGTGCTTGGAGTTAAATGTAGAAACCACTCAGGTTTTCTTGCTAAATTCCTGGAATACTACAGTCAACAAGTAGGAAAGAACAGGTAGCTGTCCCCTAGAAAATGAGGAGAATTCATCAAAGGGAAGCAGAGTCCAACAGGATGAGCTTGATCTGAGAAGAAGAAAAGCCTTGGGTGTCATAGGTGAGAAGGAATTCTGAGTGTGGCATAGATGCTGTTGCATAATTCTTGCTTTTTTTTTTTTTTTTTTTTTTTTTGCCATAAGTCTACGTTCTGGGGATGAGAGTATTAAAGACTTCTTTGTTAGATTTTTATAAAACATACTCGGGTCTAGAAGGCAAAATGTTAGGACAGTTCTAACAACCTGGTGTTATGAGTGATGCCACCTCCTCTAGAAAGACACTCCTGAGGTCTTTTTCATGTGGTTGGATTTCATTTCAAGAACTCAAGAAAGAGAGAGTTACAGAATTTTGTCATTATGACAAGGACCAGGAACCTACTTGAGAGCAAGAGGTCAAGTTCATTTCTAATCTTCCCTGGAAGTTTTCCCATCATTATCAGTGACCTCATGGCTGGGAAGTTTGAATTTTACAAGGAGTTATGAACACAGAATGGCTTTAATTAAAGAAAAAGATAGTCAATAATTGTTGCTTTGACGTTTATAAGACAATAATTCTGGTAAAATCATCCTCCATGAGAGAAATGGAAAGTTCTATTATGCTATTACCAGAAGCTGAGAATAAAATTAATTTAACTTGAAATAAATCTTCACAAAAGTTATAGCAAACATACCGAGCAGCTTCTGAATATCTTTCCAGACATCTAAACACTGTTGCCTGGCGAAGATGATTTCGGAAATAAGCTGGGTTTAAAACAATGCTCCTGTAAAAAGATAAAAAGGAATGTAAATGTTATTAGGTTTTTAAAAGTCAATTACCAGAAGTGTATAGGAATGAAATAACATGTATTCCATTTTACGTACTATATATTTTAAAAGATACTAATGAATGAAGTCCTTTTCTTCCTATAATTGTCAGTTAAGGCATATAAACAAGTTGAAAAACTAATTATGTTTGCATTAGGAAAGCAATTTTATTTATAGCACTGAATATCTTTTGTAGATATGACAGTGACAAAAGATTTGAATTCAACTTATATTACAATAAGACATGATGTCATTTTATTTTTTAATGTTAATAAATCAGGCAAAAATCAGAGGTTATTTAGGGTAATGTGTATTTATAATGGAGGAGTTTATTAGTTGTTGAATTACAGTTAAAAGAAAGGGACTGGGATTTGGGTGACATGTTTATTTGTACTTGATAAATAAGTAGGTTCTGTGTCTTCCTTCAGCTGGACAATGTGGTGGCATGAAAGGAATCATGTACCATTGGTTGAGGACTCTAGTCTTGACCTTGTCACTTTTGGTGAGGCCTTACTGATTTTGGGTTTCCATTTCTTCTTTAATGAAATTATGAGACTTGGCTTGAGGATAAGATTATCTATCTTGCTGATTTTTCATCATGTGAGTTCTAGAATCTCAATCCATGCCCAGATGAAGATGATCATTTCCCAGTTATCTTCTCTACTAGAGATTAACTGGTAGACATTTCCCTTCTTTGATTCACTGAGAGTTAAGCACTATGCAAGGTATTTGATATAACGAGATGAACTAGACAAATGTTGTCCATGGCCCATCACCAGGTGGAGACAGAGCTATTAATGAAAGTTTGAAATGTAGCTTATACTAACAGAGTGTGTAGTGTTACTGATGTGGGATACAGAATGTTACAGAACCAACACAGTATTAGTAAGCAAACTTCTTGTGAGCTTGTTTTTACAAGTTAATGTGAACCACTTGGAATTAATTCATTATTGAAGTAACTGGGTTTTAGTCTTTCTTGAGAAGTTCACAGAGCTTTTTGAGAATCAGATGTAAGCTGTGTATCTCTGCCCAGAAAAATGCACACAAACATAAGTGCCAAAATTTAGTGAATTCATGTGATCCCTGAAGCCTTGTCACGTCCAGATTAAAAAAACATGCCAACAAGAAAATTCCGTTCCCAGATCTATTACTTATAGTCAGTGTAAAATATAAAAGAAACATCTACCTGCCCATGTAGAATTATAGAATTATATGATGACGAGGTGGCTTGAGTGAATAATTTAGCTCACTTTAAACACAGGTTAACAGAAACCAGGGAGGTTATGGGACTTTTCTAAAATCATACACAACAAATTAGTCGATGAAAGGTTTCAAGTTTATTGTGTTTCCTGTCTCTAGCCACAGTACTTCATATTACACAGATGGCTTTTCCTACGATGATTTCTGAATTAAAGCAGCCTAAATTAGTGAAGTTTTACTTTACCCTATGATTAACAATTTGTACAAACGAATACATTAAACCCCAAGAACACAGATTATTTCCTTTGGTGATTTCTGATTGAAATGTTGGAAATTTAAAAACTATTACATGAATTCATTCCATATCAGTACTGAATACTAATACTTTATGTTAATTCAGAAAAAGAGTATGTTTACAAGGTATGTTTATGTATTTTATCGTTGTAAAGGTAATTTTGTAAAAGTAGACCAGAGGGAATAAGATCAGAGCTCTGTCAAGGGCCTAGGTCTTCTGACAAACTAGAATTTTTTCTTGCACTTATAGCTAATTCTTCCCTCTCTTTTTGTAATCATTCATTCACTTGTGGATTTTTACTAAGTGCCTACAAATGTGATGGGACAAAATCCTTACTGAATAGATGTTTCTAGCCTTTGACATTTTGTTGCCCATGATGTAGTGTTCCAGCATTGCTGAGCTATTCTCTAACAATCTTGCTTTGTCAGATAAATTCTTCTGACAAAAATGCAGACCTGAGTGTGGTAAAAAAAAAGAGGGAGGAAGGAGAAGAAGAGTCATCAAAATAGTTTGGGATGTAAGTGAAGGAGAAGATTTTCATGGGCAGTGAGGGTTGATGAGGTAAACAACATAGGAATTGTTTCAGTGTAACTTTAGAAAAATGATAGATTAAAAAAATTGTAATTACAAGTCCTCTTTCTGGTGTTGAAGAAATACAAGTAGAGAACATGAGCTTAGAAATAACTATTGGTAGACGGGAATAGTTTCTTTTAACAATAACATCACCTTACACTGTACCATGTGAATCACAGCTTTACCTGATGGACCCAAAGAAGACCTGGACCCAGTCTACCCTGAGAGGTGGAGGTATAATTATAAAAGAATGTTTAGAAATTTGAGATGAGATATTATATTTGGCAATTTATTATTTCTGGCTCTCATAATTATTGCAACATTCACTGTGTGCTTATAATATGCCTTATTAGATATTTAGCAAGGAAATGTTAGCAATGATTGTGAAGCCTAGTTTTTACACTTTTAGTAATTTATTTTATGCTTTCTAAAATGACATACCCTTTTTAAGATGTATTTTATGTGTGTGCAACTTGTAAAGGAAATGTAGATTTAAAAGTTCTTAATCATTCATCAGTCTATGCCCTTTGGGGAGCTATAGGAGGCAGTCTAGGACCAACATGGACAATCTGACTAGGGTTAAAGTGAAAAAACAAACAAAAAGCCCAACAATTGTACAATTAAAATCAGAGAGAGAAGCACTCTGTGCTGATGGTCTGATTTTATTACCAAAGAAATACCTCTGATTTAGGTATGTTGATAAGGCTTTTGGTAAAAAACAAGATCATGTTAAAGAGAATAGCTAAATTACAGAACTCATTGAATTTTTGTCAGAAGAATAGAGAGAGTGTTAGTAACAGGCCATGATTGCTCGTTCAATTGATGAGCACTGTTCTAACAGAATGAGATCATGTAAAATAATAAATATTACAATAGACAAAAGGACATTTTCTGTATCAATTTGTTGGCTGTGGTATATCTTATGCTTTTTATGATTTGCATTTGTAAGTGCTTTGGAATTAATCTTTTATATTAAAGTTCACATAATTTGATTTGTGTGCATGAATGGATGTGCACTTGTTTTATTAAGTCCCAAGGTCATAATGTTGTTGTAAACCCAGAATGTAAGTCTCTTCTGGTGATTATTTGAGGCGTCTCAATTCACTTTTCAAATAATTTATCTTTCTCTCAGTGATTGATATGCCACCTCTATTATATACTAAGTTTACATGCACTAAGTAGGATCAGTGGCTGGACTTTGTATCTTAAACTTTTTATCTCTCTGTTTCTATACAGAACAAATTGTTTTAATTATTGTCACTTTACAGGTGACTGGGTGGCTCAGTCGGTTAAATGCTGGCCTCTCCATCTTGACTTAGGTCATGCTCTCATAGTTTGTGAGTTTGAGACCCGCATTGCTCTCTGCCATGCTGCCCATGGTGCCAAGTCTGCTTGGGATTCTGTCCCTCCTTCTCTCTGTCCCTCCCCTGCTTGTGCTTGCTCTCTCTCTCTCAAAAGAAATAAATAAACTTAAAAAATTATTACTGTCGCTTTAAAATACACCTTAATTTCTGGACGGGAACTGCCTAATATCCTTTTTTGTGAAAAAAAAATTGTTATCTGGCATGTTTATTATTCCTGATGAATTTTATAATGTTCATCTATTACAGTTACAAAAAAACACATTCAGTGGTTTTCATTGTGTTAAAATAAAAGGATTAGATTAATTTTAGTTAGAAGAGACATTTTTATAGTGTTGTCTTCCCATCCTGGGATGTGACATTTCTCTTCCTCATCTAAATATTTTTTCAAATCTCCTCTAGTAACATTTTAACCTTCTTTTTACTTTTTTGAAAAATGGAAGTTTTACTAATTTCTTATTAATTCTTAAGCTTTAAAATTATATATGAGAATATATACATGCCTACCTTACTACTCAAGGCATTATCAGCTGAACCTAAGAGCCCATAGAAATATAAAATCTTGCTACCCACCTCAAACATGCTGAATCTACATTTTAATAAGACCCTCAGGTCACTTGTATGCATCTTAAAATTTGAGAAGCATATTTACATATATGTATAGTAAGAATAGAATTTTTTCCATTATTTCCTAATTACTTATTGCTAACATTTACATATGTATTTTTAAAAATCTTTTCTATTTATTTTATTTTTTATTTTTTAAAATTTTAGATACTGAGAGAGAGAGCATGAGTAGAGGAGTGGGGCAGAGGGGTGGAGAGAGAGAGAATCTTAAGCAGTCTCCATGCTCTGTGAGGAACCTGACGTGGGGCTTGATCCCACAACCCTGGGATCATGACCTGAGCCAAAATCAAGAGTTGGACACTTAGCCCAATGAGCCACCCAGGCTTCCCATATATACATATTTTAAAAATAATTATTTTTTTGTATTCTTTTGATCTAACATTGCAATAATTTAGTTTTAGTCACACCATCTGCAAATGATGATGATTTGTGCTACATTTCAATATTCACGTCTTTTTTCTTCTCTTACTGCATAGGCTACAATACTTTTTAAAGAAATTTAAATGAATGAAGTTATCTAGGGATGTTTTAATATTTCACTGATAGTTACAATTGTGGACTAGTATGAGGGAAAAAAACCTGTTTTGTTTCAAGAGTTATTATCAATATCAAGATATTTTTCAAATATCCTTTGTTTCTATCAACATGATCTTGTGGACTTTGCCTTTTGACTTTTTGTAGGGATGCTTTGTATAAATTACTGATTCAAAAGAACACTCAAATTAATAAACAGAATATTAAAGAATTAAGAAAATGAATAATAGAACAGAACAATATCCAGGACAAAAGTGAACAAACATAAAAATAAGGTGATATTATTATTATTATTATTCTGTGATTTTTATGAAATATTATGCTAGTATTGAGTTACCAGAAGTTTTGCATTTTTATAGTCTTTCCA